TGGGCTCTATGGACGGCCCTGACTATCCCTGACACACAGAGAGTCAAGGACGGTCGCATTTGCGCGAGGCGAGGCGAGCATTCAGACGCGTTGCATGCGCCATGCCTCGCGCCAGCGCGTGCGGGAGCTCCTGGCTGAGCGTTGAGTCCAGGCGAGTTGCGCTGGCCACTATCGCTACGCCGAGCCGAGCTGACGCGCCGAGGCGCCGGCCAGTCGCAGCCGTGAGGCATGCCACAGCAGCAGAGGCACCTCCCACCCATTGGGCGGGCAGACAGAAGGCCAGGGCAGCACTGGCAAGTGCAACGCGCCTCATGTCGGAGAGCGACCGTGCCTCGTTCGCCGTTTATGATGTAGAGTTTGTTGTAGAGATTTCACGTTGTAGAGCGCCTCTACATCGCTCTACAACGCAGGCACTTCGTCCCGCGGCGGATGTAGAGCTCTACAGCTCTACAGCGCTCTAGAGCGCTCTACATCTCTACAGCTCTACAGCGCTCTACACTCTACATCCTCTACACCCTCCCTCAGGAATTCTTTTACACTAGGCACGGGACTGGCGCGCACTGGCACTTTAGAATGGGCAACAAAACTCCCTCGCACGACACTAGGCACGGGACTGGCGCGCACTGGCACTAACACAGGAATTTAGACTTAAGAATTTAGAAAGCAGCACGACACTGGGCACGGGAGGTGAACCTTCTTTTCTAGACGGCTAGGATTGAGAGCAGCCTCGCTCTCAATCTTAGAAGTCGAACGAAGGATTGTGAGCAGCACTCCTCGCAATCGTAGCATCTCTGTGCGATTGTGAGCGCCTACGCTCGCAATCCTACATCTTCTAGCATCAGGATTGCGAGCGTAGGCGCTCACAATCGCACAGAGATGCTACGATTGCGAGGAGTGCTGCTCACAATCCTTCGACTTCTAGGATTGAGAGCGAGGCTGCTCTCAATCCTAGCCGTCTAGAAAAGAAGGTTCAGCGGCACGGGACTGGCGCGCACTGGCACTAAATAATTTTAATGTTTCCTCGCACGACACTGCCCACTCCCGTTCCCCTGTGTCCCTGATCGTCCTTCCAAAATCCTGCTCGTGCAGGTAGGGACCCTGTCCTCCCCCCATCCCTCGTCTGGGGAGCGTGTTTTCTTTCTTTCTTTTCTGGGCACGGGACTGGCGCGCACTGGTACTAACACGAACAGAATTTTACAAGGGATCTCACGACACTAGATTTAGCCTGAGATGAGACCGCCACGCAGTGGAAAATTGGGAGTCCACCGAGCCCCGCGCTGCGAGCCTGTCGTGTCCCTTCCTTGCTTGCTTGTCAGGAGGAGGAGCGAGAGAACCCCCTGTGCCCCTGATCGTCCTTCCAAAATCCTGCTCGTGCAGGGGGTAGACCCGTCGCGGCGGCAGCCCGGACCACCGTGATCTACGACAAGGAGGGCCACGCCTCCCCGAGCTCGAGGAGGAGCCGGCGGAGGGGAGGGGCGAGCCGAGAACGATAGAAAGGCCGCGGGTGCGGGCGCGATTCGTCGACCAGGGAGAGCCGGTCCGACCCCCCGGGGAGGGGAGGCGATATAACCCAACGCCGCCGCCCTCGCCCGGGGAGTCGGGCACGGGATCGCCACCCGCGGAGTCAACGGGATCAGACAGAGAAGGCGAGACGGCGGCGAAGCCGCGGTCGAAGAAGTATAAGAGGGGAAGGCGGGCTCCGCAGCCGACGCCTGACCATCGGAAAGCGAACAGGAGGGGAGACCGGGAGGAGAGGGGCGAGCCCCTTCGGATGGGGGGTGGGGAGATCGGGCGGAGGAGCCCTGAGTGGCGATGTCGGGTGAGAGTGTACGTCATGCTCGTGTCTGGTGTTTACTAGCTCCGAGTAGAGGGGGCGTTCCGCCGCTAGGGGACACCCAAAGCGCAGAACCAACCCTCGGAGACCTGTGTTTACTTTACGGCCCTTTCCCTGCGAACGCGCACCCCCCCGGGCTAGGGCTCTCTAGCCCGTAACCCGATGCCGATCATCCGGCCCGCTGGGTGCGCTTCTTAGCTCCCCGGCCCTGGAAGTGGATGTGAGGTTAATGACTGCACTCCAAGTGCTCCCAAGTCGCAAGTGCAGGTGAGGACCCTGTCCTCCTCCCATCCCTCGTTTGTTTTCGGGGGTTCTTTTTCTTTCTTTTACACTAGCCACGGGACTGGCGCGCATCCGCGGCATGCGGGACTCTGGCGGATGTCGGCGGCGCGCGCCACCCACTGGCACTAACATGGCACACCAGAGTCGAAAAGAAAGACCACACAAGTGCCCGCATCCGCCATCCCTCCACCCTGCTGTGTGGAGTGATTTCTCTCTGTCTCTTTCTTTAGACCCGAGGCGGCGTCGACGCGCACCATCCGCTCCCCATCTCGCTCTCCCTCGTAGTGCTGCACGTTGCCGCGGGAAACTCCATGCGCACCACCCGCTCCGCACCTCGCTCGCCCTCGTAGTACTGCACGATGCCGTCGGGAAACTCCGCACGCACCGTCCGCTCCGCACCTTGCTCGCCCTCGAAGTGCTGCACGGCGCCATCGGCACGCACCGCGCGCACCGCCCGCTCCGCACCTCGCTCGCCCTCGAAGTGCTGCACAGTGCCGTCGGCAAACTCCCTGCGCACCACCCGCTCCGCACCTTGCTCGCCCTCGAAGTACTGCACAGTGCCGTCGGCGAACTCCCTGCGCACCACCCGCTCCGCGTCTTGCTCGCCCTCGAAGTGCTGCACTTCGCCGTCGGCAAACTCCGCGCGCACCATCCGCTCTGCGCCTCGCTCGCCCTCGTAGTACTGCACTTTGCCGCATGGGAACTCCGTGCGCACGCCCCGCTCCGCGCCTTTCTCGCCCTCGTAGTAGTGCACCACGCCGTCGGCAAACTCAGTGCGCACCATCCGCTCCGCGTCTCGCTCGCCCTCGAAGTGCTGCACCAGGCCACTCCTCAAGATACGCACCCGCAGATCAGCGCCCCGCTCTTCGCCGCGTCGCAGCGCCCACGTCTCGGCGCGTTGCTCGTCAGCGCCTTCTACTGCCGACAGGCAGAGCGCCGGGCTCACCCTCGCAAGCCACGGGAAGTGGTCGGCGGTGGCGCGGCGGTCGGCGGCGTAGGCGCGAAGGCTGGCCTCGCAAAGCGTCGGCCGTATGATGGACGACCCGACGAACGATCCGGCAATCAAACGCTCGATGAGAAGCAGCCGCATCGCCACGGCGAAGAGAGGGTCCTTGAAGCGCGCCAGGCCGCTGCGAAGCGCGAGGCCGAGGCGCGGCGACGCGAGGCTGAAGGCGGCGCAGTCGGAGAAGTCGTCGACGCCCTCGAGGATGCGGAGGTGCAGCTCCGGCGGCAGGTCGCCCAGCCAGTCCGTGGGTGGGTCGTCGTCGTCGTCGGTGCGTGCTGGAGGCGGAGGAACCATTTTAGATCAGCGATTCATACAGCAAGCGCCGTGCGCATTAGAGGAAGAAATGGCAGCGCCGCATATGCACCATTGAACAACAGCCGAGTCCGGCAACAAGCGCCGTGCGCCGAACATAAAAGAAGTGTTTACCTCAGGACAACTACCTACAACTGGAGTGTAGTGGCACTAACTAATACGGTTGTAAGAGAGAGAGAGAGAGAGAGGTGTGATGTTGCAGATGTTGCAGAGATAAGGCCGAATCGGCGAAGCAGGTCTAAGTTTGGGGGGGTACGGTAGATGTCCTGCGAACGAGGTCAACGAGAAGGTGCAGCGCGTCTCGCGCTGCACGTCCTGCCCCACTCTCCGCTGCGCCAGCTTTGCCACCAGCCACGCCCGCCCCGCGCCTCCAGGTCGACCTGCCGGAGACCGCGTCCCGCCGCCTCGGCACCTCATCATGCCGAAGCGGCCGCTCGACGACGTCGTGCTCGTGATCCGCGGCACCGTGATTGACAGCCCAGAACTGACGACGCTGCGCGTGCGCACCCACGCCGTGCTCGGCGTGCGCGCCATCGGCACCGTCGCCTTCTGCGAAGAAGGACACACCGAGCCTCTCTCTCCTGGCAGCAGCCTGGTGCTCCCGCCGCGCGCCCGCGCGCCCGTTACGTCTCTGCCGCCGACCGTCCCACCCGAGCCGGCAGGTGCTGCGCGAGGGAGGAGAGGTGGTGCTGAGCCGCGGCTGCGTCATCCGTGACCTGCCGGCCCGCGGCTTCCTCTGCCCCGGGCTGGTGGACACGCACACGCACGCGCCGCAGTTTTCGTTTACCGGGATCGGGCGCGGCTCTCTCCGGCAGCGGGTCGAGTGGCCGGACGAGTGACCGTGCTTGCCGACCGCGCCCCGAGCCGCGCCCCAGGTACGACCTCCAGCTACTCGACTGGCTCAACAAGTACACCTTCCCCTCCGAGGCCAAGTTCAAGGATTCAGCCTTTGCCGCGCGCGTCTGCCGGAACGCCGTCGCGCGCACGCTCCGGAACGGGACGACGTCATGCATGTACTTTGCGACGATCCACACGGACGCGGCGCTGCAGCTCGGCCGGATCGCCTCGGGCATGGGCCAGCGCGCCTTCGTCGGCAAGGCGCGCGCTCGCCTCGCCCGCCCGCCTCGCGGAAGGAAAGAGGCGGCCCTGGCGGAAGGGGAGGAGGCGGCCCTGGCGGAAGGAAAGAGCGGCCCTGGCGGAAGGGGAGGAGGCGGCCCTGGCGGAAGGAAAGAGGCGGCCTGGCGGAAGGGGAGGAGGCGGCCCTGGCGGAAGGAAAGAGGCGGCCCTGGCGGAAAGGGAGGAGGCGGGCGGCGCTAGTCCCGCCCGCGGGATCGCGCCGCCGGGTCCCTTCCGTGGCGGGCGGGGAGGGAGAGGCCGGAGAGGGGGATGGGGGAGGCGGAGCGGCGCTCCGACCCGCCTCTTCTCCGCGCGGCATATGAGCATGGACTAACCCGAACCCGAACCCTTACCGTCACCCCTTCTCCCGCGCGGCATATGAGCATGGGCCGGGACCATGATCCATGGGACTTGTACTTAGGTAAATATGGACCGGAACGCGCCCGAGTCGTACTGCGAGACGACGGCAGACTCGCTGGCGGAGACGGCGCCGCCGCTAGCCCCGGGCCCCTCACCCGCAGACACACGCACACCCTCCCGCCTGCACCCGCCCGCCCGCCTTGCACCCTCACCCTCGCCCTCCCGCCTTGCACCCTCACCCGCCCGCTCCTGCACTGAGTGGTGCGTGAGCGATGAGCGTTCCTGACTGGTCCGCCTGGGAGGCCTTAATGGTACGAGCGCGGATTGGAGCTGCGCGCTATGTACACGGAAAGATGGTGTCCTGCTGCAACTTCTGCTTGC